ATTTTTAGTGCTTCTTTTAAAAAGTACTCCATTTAAAAATATTTGCTCTAAAAAACATCTCTCAAATTTAATTAATTAGCTAAGAGTATTTTATATATTGATCCATAGGTCATGACAAACCTAACCTCAATTGAAAAGAGTCTAATTAATTTAAGATTTTCATTTTGAGCAAAATTTTATCTCCCTTTTTGAGAGGGAGTCCCACATGTATTCATATAATTCAAACAAAATTAAAAAACCTAAAACTTTTTTTTTTTGGTGTATTGTCACTATGAATTAAAAAAATGAAAATCAACTTTGTGGGTTAGAATCCCAATAACCTTTTTCTTTTATCATCAAAAGTTGGAATAGAATATTATTAAGTGGGTTTCAATAATAAAAAAAAAATTACATAGTTACATTAACATTTTAATTCCTATGAGCATGATTTCAATTTAATTTCCATCATATAATTTTTTTTATTATTATAATTCATGTGTTTGGTTAAATCTTTATCACTATATGATGTTAATAGATTTTTTATGCGATAAAGGTAGAGTTGATGCTCAATTTAAAGTATAAYGTGAATGATAAAGAAGACTAATTATATTAAATTTGAATCGAATAAAAAAATAGAAAGCTCGAACGGTTATAATAGAAAAAATAAACATATATTTWATATAAAATAAGTGAATTTTAGGATTGATCGATGTCTTTGAAAGATGGAAGGAGAAGATTATTTACAATAACACTGAAATTAGATCAGCTAAAATTTGAGACAAATTTTGTTTTTATGACCAAAATTTTACTCAAAACACTATCAAAGGCTTGAGTGGTTTGAGTAAAATAAATAAATTAAAAGGGAAAAAGAAAGAGTTATTTATAAATCTGACTTACAAAGCCATTTGTAGAATCTAGATGATTTCTATGTAAAAGAATGAGTGGTGATCCCAAAAACCATTCTCAAATTATCTAGCTTTTTGCTTTTTTGGCTTGAGTTTGAGGCACTTTTTCCATTTGAYAAGTCAATTTGAAGTGATCTAAATGATCTTTCCTGGAATAGTAGAACTTATTTGCATATAGAAACTTTCCTTAAAGGGTTAAATATAATTTCCGTGCAGGTAGTTTCAACTTTGGTTTATTTTGATCTTTATATACTTTGGGTTGTTTGGTAACGTTGTTGTTTCTTTGTTTCTGTTTCTTCATTTTAAATAAAGAAAAATGAATTGCATAACCCCAACATCCATGAATTTAAGTATGATCATAAATAATCTTCTTATTTATGTTTTAGGACAAATGAGAAATGAGAACAAGAAAGAATAAACTTGCTTTTTGTTATTTCCAACATTTCTATACAATTTTGAGAACGTTCCMCAACAAATGAGAAACAAGAAACATAGTTTGTTGTAATCATCATGAGTGCCTTATTGATCCAAAGCTTGTATTTGTTATAGTTTCTTTTTCTTCRGATGACTATAAGACCAGAAAGTGTATCTTTTTGTTGGTCGAACCAAAAAATACATTTCAAATCTTTTTTATATGGATTGAAAATATCTCTTTTATCTTATCTTCTGTTTTGGAATAAAAGAAAGATATTTTAAACGGCTCATATGTTGTGACTTGGAATAAACGTTTCTCCRTGGAAAAAGGGAAATATCAATTTTTTCCTATCTAACGTCTACAAACAAGAGGAAAAAAAAAGAAACATAGTTAGTTACAAAATATTTAGATTTATTAAGAAAATTGGAAATGAGAAACAAAAAACAGTAACGTTATCAAATGAGTCTTAAAATGTCAATTTTGATCTTTGTGTATTTTTGAAAGGTAACTATTATTTATTTGGTCATTTCATTTTATTTTTCTCTCATAATTTTAGCATGACACTTCACTTACTAATTTTTTTTTTTAAATGTTAGTCATAAATTTGTATTAATAAATGGTTTCATTGTATATAAAATTTGGTAAAATTTTAGAACAAAATTAGTCACTTCTTAAAAAGTAGAGAAACCAAAACAGATACAATAACTAAAATAAACAAACATTGAAAGTACATACACCAACGTTTTGAAAATACATAGATTAAAATGAACTAAAATATACAAAAATACATGAACAAAAATAGTAAATAGCTCTCCCACATGATTCTATTTTACAAATTCAATTTTTATTACATAATTATTGATGTAAAGAGAAATATATCTTTCTTTTTTTTTTTTTTGAAACTTAAAAATCTTTTTATTTAGAGATGAGATTTGTAACCATCCTTTTATTTATTTATAAGTTATGTGGAGGATCTAATTAGCACTTTAGTGTGAATTGTATATATAGTTTCATAATACCGCTTGTTGTATCATAAGATTTTTCAACTTATTAGAATAAGGAGGTTCGATCAAAATAGAATTAAGGAAAAAATCGCACAAACTACATTATGATATAGACGTAAATCAAATTACATTAACAAAATAGATTTTAATTTTAATTCAAATCCTCAATTTTTACTTTTGGTCCATATCCTTTAAAATTATTCCACTTTTTTTTTTTTACAATAAAAATTATTCCACCCTTGATCCTTCAAGAAAAGTACAACATCTTAGTTGGAAATATATGTCAATTATCATTAAGTTATACTCGTTTTGCCTGATAATGTTAGTTACTATATTTACCAGCTAATTGATTTAGAGTATAATCATGCATGAAAAACACATATTAACTTAGATTGACAGTTGAGATTCAAAAAGAGTAATGAGATTACTGATTGTACATATACAAGATTAAGTGTTGACTAACAGAAACAACTTAGTGATGYCAATTAATTGATATGGAACCTAACTTAGGAATTAGTAATTTCTATGTGTTTCCTAGTACCAAATATTGTAGGGTTAGATGGTYGTCCCGTAAAATTAGTCGAGGTACGAGCAGACTAGGCTTGGACACTCACGGATAAAAGAGGAGGGTATATATTATGATCACAAGAATCACTAATTGGGATATWTATTATTCTCTATTTTCTACTATACTTATAATTTCATATATGCTAGATGATGTAGTTGTACTCCTTTTCTCTCTAGTATTTACAATATGAAAGCCTTTTTGTAAAAAATAATAATAAGAGCCAATTAATTTTAATAAGATAGACCTAATAAATAAAATTTGTCCCTTTGAACAACRTAAATATTAAATACAAAGAGGAGGGTAGATAGGTTTCCACCAAGTATTAAAGCCAGAAGTTGAGGAATTTTGGTTGAAAATGAGGAACAGTCATTTGTCATGTAGTGCATTATTAGGGCAACAAAAAGAGTTTGTTTTGTTTTTATTTAATTTGTCAATTTCATAAGATCCATGCATATATTATGCAAAAATTAATTAAATCTTTTGGTGATGATTACAATTTTGGCCTTGAATGATGGGTGGGAATTTATTTTCAAAAATCAAATGCAAAACTCAATCTCAAAATCAGCACAATTATTGCTCTTTTTAATGTACTTTAGCTCATGGTTTGGTTCTAACTAATAATTTAAGTTAAGCATTGCAAAAGGAAGATAATCTATGGACTTTTTTTTAATTGGTTATGAAAAGTTCTTTGTTCACAAATATATCCTCGTGTCCTCTTACCTTAAATTTCAAGAAGACGCCATATATGGGTGTTGTTGATTAGTCGGTTTAATTACGAAGTATAAGAATTTGTTTTTTCAGTATAATTAACAATATGAGGGTGAGAATTCGAACCCAACTTTTTGATTGATATGATATATGTCTTAATCAATTGAGCTATATTCAAGTTATCAAGTCTTGACATTTGTTCTAGAACTAATTTTTTAGATTAAAATTTCAGTATATATTGGATAAACTAATTGTTCATTTTTTTTTTTGTTTTCCATGATTCTTCAACCAAAAATAATAAATGAAGCTTTTTCTTCTAATATAATCAAGGAATTGATGGATCTTTATTTCAATCGTACGTAGACAATAACACGTTAACTTTTACAACTCATTCAATCCTATTTTTTAAAAACAAATTTCTAAATGCCCCTTGGAATGGTTTTTCATACTTTATTTTTTGAAAGAATGATTTTTCATACTTAGTACACCTCTTTTTAAATTATATGTTGATTTTTTTCATTAAAAAAAAAAAGTATACATTTTGCATTTCATAACATTATAGTTCGAAATGCACCGACTGATCATTCTTACCAACCAATAAAATTAATAATCTCTTTGTAATTAATCTAACTTTGCAAACTATTTATTAAACCAAAATACATATTCTAATTAACATGTACTTTTGATACCAATATGTTGGATTTGTAAAAGGAATGCAAATAAAATCTCACATTGGCTAAGGAAAAGCATGATCTATAGTATATAGATGATGACAATTATCTCCATTAGTATGAAGCCTTTTGGGTGAAACCGAAAACAAAGTCGTGAGGGCTATTGGTTAAGGTACTTAGGCATGGTTCACGGGTTACCTTGTTCTCTCTCAAATTTTTTGGAAGGTTTAACCGATTTTGAAAATTAAAAAAATGAGAAGATATCGAGAAGATTGGAGGACATTTTCCCTTCTATAAATAAAGAGGAGAAGTCTCTCATAATCTAGGCACACTATAAAACTAATTCTCGCTGTACTTAACACAAACCTACATTTGACTTAAGCATCGGGGAATGTGAGTTTGGCTAGCACCCACACACTGTGTGTATTCTCTTAATTTTGCAGGTTTCGTCAAATCTCGTTAATCAAGAAGATCAGTGATACAAATTTGTTAGATATCCAACGATAAATTAAATTTTCTCAACTCATTAACTTAAAGCTTTTGGATTGAGTTGTTGTTTATTCATGTTTAAGATGGTATTAGAGCAGGAGGTCCTGTGTTCAATTTTCCCAACCTATTACCTGAAACTTTTGGGTTGAGTGGTGATTTATTCATCCTTAAAAAAATTCTGTCTTTCTAACAGGACCAATAGGACCAATTTTAAGCACCTCAATAAATTCAAAATGCACAATATGCATTTACATTTACAAATTTATTAATCACACTATTTATTTCAATCCATRCTCATAATCACAAGAAACTAAAAAGATATTACAACTCAGATGAGCGAGAAAAAGTAGAGTTTATGACCGCCACCGCTGATAACACAAACTCAACTGACAAAGTCCAATCGATTTAACACAAAAGTTCAAATMTTTCATCCCCAATCATCCCGCTTCTCAAAAAAGATAGATAGAGAACGGAAAAAGAAGAGATCGAACAGAAAGAGAGARAAAAAACTACATGATGGAACAAGCATTGACATTATCATCACTAAAAAGAGAGACAAAGTTTTCTTCATGTTGTGTTGGATAGGCTTGCACAACATTCCTTACAAACCCAGAAGGAGCCTTCTTGTCGTAAGCACCTGAGACATAAGGGTAATGAACAAGATGCTGTGGAATGTATGGCCAAAACTCTGCAATTTTTCCAGTGCTTTTTACTCTCTTAAGCACTTTGTTTGCATCAACATACCCACTTACCCTCACTCTATGTTGCTTTCTCATCACCTCCACCGACTTCACACCTGTCAAAATTTCATCTCGATCTCGTTAAATATATAATTTAGTCCTTAATGARGTTCGCGGATCACTATCTTTCAATTTTACCTCTAAAACAGTTAAAAGTTTTAGTTTCGTCATCCTTTATTACGGATTAGAGTTCTTAATCATGTATGACATTAAAATTCATGAATAGAAGGATGATACGACATCGAGAAACAATATTTTTTGTCGATTTTGTGAAAAATAGACCTATCCACCGTAAAATTGTAAAACCTATCTACTTCGTTTTGTATAATGTTTCGTTACCATTCAATATAGATTCAAAATTACTTAATTTGTAATAATTTATCCCACTYGAACCATTCAAAATGTGATTGTGCTATTAACATCGATATTTTAAACCTTGACATCAATATTTTAAAAGAGAGAGGACCTTTCATGGAGGTGACAGCATCTCGAACCCTTCTTTCACATCCATCACAGTCCAWCTTCACTTTGATCTCAACTGTCTGAAAAACACATAACATCAACAAAATCACAACACAACACACATTTTTCTGAGAAAAAATAGTTTCTCTCTCTTCAAAAAAACACAAATAGGGAGAGAGAGAAAGGTGAAAACTTTTTGGTTACCTGCATTGGTTTTCTCTTGCTTCTTGTTGTCTTGACAGTACAAAAGTTGGAAAGATAATCAAGGGCTCCCATTCTCCTTTCCCTTTGCCCCAAAGCCAAAAAAACAAGAGAAAGAGAGATGAAATTATTCACTTGAGAGCTCATCCTTTTAAATAAGGTTTAAGAGATCATGAATGACCCATTTAGCCTTTAAGAAAAGATAAGTACAAAAGCATTGGAGAAGAGAGAGAGAGAGAGAGAGAGAGGGGCCTTTGAAATGATGAAAGAGGCAATTTTGCTTATTGGGTCATTTTATCTTCCTTTATCTTTATGCAATTTGTTAATTTATTTTTGAGTTATCATATATATGTTTGTTTAGTGAGAAAATAATATTTTTGCTTTCCATTGTTTGTAATAATTGTGAAAACCTACTCTCTCTAATGCCCTTTTTCTGACTGATTGAAAAAGAGAGTTCTTTCATCTCATTGCAAAAATCAATTTATTTAGTTTAATCTAAACTTCTTATGATAAAATTGTTGTATTTATTGTATAATTTCATAATATATTGGCTAAATATATTACTGGCCTTTAAGTTAACTTTTTTTTTTTCTAATATTTTAAAAACTTCAATTTTACTTTCGATATATACCTGCATAAACTTTCGATCAAATATCTACTAAATAACACCTTTCAAATTGACCAATAAAAATATGACAGGGTAACCATCGTTTTTTCATTCGCGATGTTCTAAAAATTGTCAATTTTTATATTAAACTTCTAATATCCTCAAATTGAACGGTAAACTATACTAAATAAAATTAAAATAAAAAATTGAATTGTAAACTTGAATAAATTGTGAAATTAGTACCTTACCTGATTTTGTGGCCAAGTTGGATTTCAGACATTTTTTTTTTCCATTTGTGATATTGATTATTTTTATTGGTTGAATTTTATGTACTTTATTAGTATATTTATGGACAATTTTTTAGTTTAGTTTTGAAGAGGTATTAATTTTCACCATGTCTACTCTCAAGTTTAATGCCTTGATGAAATTTAAAGATAAACTAAAATTTACTTACTAAGTACAGAATAAAATTTAATTTTTCTCACCAAAAAAAAAAGCTATAGTTCATTTCTTTCCCATTAGACCAATAACTATAAATAATTCACTTGTGATCCTCTCCCATAAATGCTACCAATATTCATCCTAGTGTCAGCTCTAGAAGATATCAAAGATTTGTATTGTCAGGTTGTTTCGTTTGATAATCATTTTAATTTTTTACTTTCTGATTTCAAAAAATTATGTTTGATTTCTAACCATTTCTTTGCCAGTTTATCACATTCCTTCAAAACACATTTGAGTTCTTAGACAAATGTTAAAAACAAACACAAGTTTTCAAAAACTACACTTTTCCGTTTTCAAAATTTTACTTAGATTTAGATTTTTTTGATTTTTTTTTTTTGAAAAAATATATAACAAAACAAAGAAATTCATAGGTTAAAATAGTGTCTCTAAGCTTAATTTTTTAAAAAACAAGAAAATAAAAAACGAAATGAGATCTTAAGGAACGTCTCCCGAACACCTCAAGCTCTTACCAGCAACGTCTCACCCCTTACAAAAAGTAGTTGTACAAATCTATAGAACAAATTCCGTTGAAGTAAGATCGTAAGTTGTTTCCTATTCTCGATARCCATTTTCGTAACGTTGGGAGTTAAAAAGGGCTCTTTTTTATACCTATAAATTCCCATATATCTCATCTAATTTTTGGTAAGGATGCTTTGTATTCAACGTCCTTTTTTGACACCTCAAATTCGAGGAGCCTCTGCCCGGCTATAGTGTCAAAGTATAGATTCTATCACCATTACAAAAAGCTGTGACACTTTAACTGAATTTCATTGACAAATAAATAAAATTATATAACCCAACATCACATTTATACACTTTGTTTTTTTACACCGTTAAAAAACCATTGAAATAACGATTTAATTTATGAACTTTAGCATGTAACAACTTAGTCTATGTACTTTAAAATTTGTAACAATCTGATTCCTAACATGAAATTTTTTATCAACATTATTAAGAATATATTTTTATCATAGGACGATTCAATCTTTGTAAATTTATAAGCACATCTGATCCCTCACTAATTTATCAACCTACGTATATAAGAAATCTTATTAAATCTTAACAAAACATTTCACGATAAACACTAAATTGTTACAAACTTTAAACTATATAGACCAAATTGTTACATRCTAAAATATAAAGACTAAATTGTTACGAATTTAAAAATAGAAAAAATAAGGGTCCGTTTGATAATCATTTCGTTTTTGTTTTTGGTTTTTARTTTTTAAACGTTTTTGTTTTTTGTTTTTAGTTTTTAAAAAATAGGGTTGTTTGATAATCAATTCAATTCAATTCAATTTTCTGTTTTTTGTTCATGTTGAAATTTTAGGTAAATTTCAAAAAAAAAAATTCAAAAACAAGTTTTTCTTTTTCTTTTTCTGTACTTTTGTTTTTTTTTCTAACCGATCGATTTCATTTCTCTTTCTAAAAATTTAATAATTTTTCTAACTTTTTTCTCTCTAAAGTAACTTTTATTTGTCTTTGTATTTATTTATTTTCTCTAAAAAAATATATTTTGAATCTTGTTATTATCTATAAATTTGTTTCTACCGTAATTTTTCTCTTTCTTTATAATTTTTTTTCTTTAACATATATTTTCCTCTCGACTTTATTTTAAAAATTTCCGCAGGGTCGAGTCCCAACATAGGAAATACATGTCCCAACCTCATCCCTGTCCCCGATTCCATTTTTTTAATAATTAATATATATTTATTACATTTTTTATACTTAAATTCTAAAAATAATTAAAAACAATTATAAAACCGATAATTTTTCTCGAGAACATCTCTCGGACCCAAGAACGAGATGGAGACGGAGACTAAAAATTTTCACAATCACGAGAATAGGGAAGAGCATCCTCATTCGCACCCACACCATTGTCGTCTCTACTTTACATAAAATTTTCTCTCTAATATCAATTTTCAATTTTCTAACTTTTTAAAAACTAAAAACTAAAAATGRTTACCAAACATGTTTTGATTTTTTATTTTTTAAAAACAGAAAACCAAAAACTAAAAACAAGAAAAACCAAMAACCAAAAACTAAAATAGTCATCAAATGGGCCCTAAGTTATTACAAACTAGAGTTCAARGATACTACAAAGAATGTACCAAGATCAAAAATGTTTTTTAACCGTTTTATAATGATCYCGTTTTTAGTTTTCTGTTTTAAATCAAGTTTTGATAATAACTATTTTCTTCGTCTAGCTTTTTACATTAGAATTTTAAAAACTTTTTTAAAAAATTTAACTAGGATAATAAAAACGCTCTTAAAAGTATGTTATAAAAAAAATTGTTAGTACAGGAGTATAATTTCTCAAAAACAGAATAAAAATAAAATCATTATCAGATGGTCCTAAGAAATAATGGTCCAATGTTCAACAAAGATGTTTATCATGATTTAGCTTTAGATGGACATAAAGCATTACTCAACCGTAAATCTAAATGACATCTACTCTTTCTTCTATGGTTGGTGGTCCAAATCTTTATACCTCAAATTTGTTGTACTAAAAAAAAGTTATAGGTGTAGCTAAGGATTAAAATATCGACGTCAATATCAATATTGAGATTTCAATTTTACGAATATATCGAACAAAGTATAGATATCGATAAATATTCCTATAAATCAAAAAAAATATTTAAATTAGTAATAATGTTATTCTCATTTCCTGGACGAGTTATACCAAGAGGCATTTGCACCCACCCACCCTAAGATCCGAACTAGAGAAACATCAAGAGTTTTTAGTATTAAGCTCCTTAAAAGGTTCGAACCTGAAACATCTAAACCAATATGACCAAGAGACTTCAAGYCCYTGCCAACTGAGTTGTCCCTTGAGGGCAGTTATAAGCCTAATTATTAGTATTGTGACCAATTGATGATATTTCTTATGTTTTATAGATATTTATATGAGATATCAGAAATATCGATCGATCGTCAAGATCGATATCCAATCTTCCAATTTATGGATATATCAACATGTCCACATATATTTTCATCCTCAGTTATAGCCATCTAGGTAGATTTCTAATAATTTCGTCAGAGTGACAAGATCACTTCTAGATCAATCAATATTCAGACATCCATGTTAACAAATGATAAAACACTCAAAGTTGTATAAAAAATGCAGAAATTTGCTTCACCTAGATTTCATTTAAACGTCATAACGACACATGCGAAAAATGCTTACGTTCGTCGAATTTCTTCAACTTCTTTCCTTGCATGCCATTCCAGAACGCACCTGCGCTCACGACCTTCTTACCGGGTAATTGAACTTCCAGTACCTGGTGAGATTTCCAAAGCAGCAAAATAAAAATGTTTGCAAACATGTTCATGCAAAAGTAGTAGTTATTTAACTTTATTCCTGGTTAACATGTGATGTGTATTTTAGAGAACAAGTGAAAAATGCAAGTGATCTTTATTGGGTGAAAGAGAAACTGTAAACATTTGCTATGTGCAACTCTTTTTGAATGAAGAGCAAAGAAATTGTGGGAAATCCTATGAAGAGATTGGGGATGGAGGTCAGGGACAAGGAATGCAATCCCCCGTCTCCGAAATTAAAATCAATAAAAAATTTCCTGTCTACATCCCCATCCCCGTCCCATTTGAAACGAGGAATCCCCACCCTTGAGCAGGGGACCCGCCTCTTGTGGGTAGAAAAATTTGGATTTAGTGAGGTTTGTGAGGCTTGATGTGGGGTCTTGGGAATTTCATCGAAACTCATTTTTGGTTGTGGTAGCTCCCGCACTAGCAAGATATAGACGACAAAATCAAAGCAATACTAAACGAGGAGCCACCCTAACGAGACTCTTACTCAAGCGTCAAGCCCGAACATATCGTTATTGAAAACCAAGCGCTAACAAGCAAGAAAAGCCACCTTTCTATATCGAGAGATAGGCTAAGAGGCATAAACAAATATTCTAACAGTGGCCCCTCCATCTTTATGAAAAGTTCAATCATTTGTATTAAAAAAAAAATGCGAACGACCTAAAACAAAACATCCAGCACCAATAGAAAACATTATTGTTCACATCGCCAAACAATGTTTAGCAGTAAATATGGAACCAACCTCAAGTGCTGAGCATGCTCCACATGGAAACACCAGAGCATCATTAACGAAATGGATCTCGTCTGCTCGAGTCTCTTGACTACTACAATTGATGCAAACCCTTGTAGTAATGATTTTAAGCTCTAGGATATTGTCATGACCACTTTTTTCATCCRCAACGACAACCTTAGCTCGTGTTCCAGGCCATCCTGCAAATGCACGAACCTAGAGGGGATGCATGTTTTGACTGCAAAGTTGCACAAAAAGGAAGCGCAGAGTTACCTTGTTGTGTAGGACATATGCCTCTTGATTAAATGAAAGCCATGCCTCATCCGGGGATATCTGTATAATAAGAGCCAGATTCCAGAGAACTTGAATAATTTAAATGAAGATATATTCTGCTGCACGTTATCTCTGAAGAAAAATTCTCTTAAAAAATTAGGGGATTTCTGATATTACAACCGATTTTTTGCATAAAATTGAGAGATCAATATCCAAGATTTCTAGGTTTTGCTTTGCTTTATAGTAAGGGTAAATAAATTTTTAACTAACTATAAGAGAATGAATAGGAAATTTTTATTAATAACATACAGAATGATCAAATGAGTAATTGTTTTGTTTTTTTTCTCTGTCCAAAGCATATCAATCAAAATTCACTCTGAGTATATATTTATTTATTATAGAAGACATCAACCAAGGGTACCTTTGGGGCCGTGGTGGCTTTAGAGTCATCTTGAGGTAGCGCTTTCTTTTCGGCAGATCCATCAAGTATTGAAGGAAGTTCACGAATCAGAAGTTTAGAACCTGCATATAAAAGTGGAAAACGTAAGCAGGTTAGAAGCTTCCTCTATAGAATGTTTCCTATTTTATACTTTTGTCCTCCACACTTAACCCATTTCAAGTAGCATATCTATATTTCCTGGTAAAGAACCAGTCCTTCCAATAAAACTGTCTATAAAATAGAACTTATCTTTTATAATTCTTCAACTAAGATTAATTTATTTCATCCTAGAAGTTGATGCTATTTCATTTGTATGTTTTAAATGTCATCCATAGTTTAATAGATTTGACATTATTTTTTAAATATTTCTGCATTGTCCTAATGCCTCAGATTGGTGGTCCTTCCTGTTCCAGGTATTTGGCTTTGTGGGATGTTTGCCGGGGACAATTGACAGTTGGCTTTTGGAGATGGTTCAGGGCTGTGCTTTCAGAGGAAAAGCTAAGATCCTTTGGGGTTGGGTTAGAGCTTCCCTTTGGAACTTATGGAAAGAAAGGAACAACCGCACTTTTAACAATACTTCTCGTTCTTTTGATTCTTTTTGTAACTGTGTACAAATGCGTCTTCATGGTGTCTACTCCACAAGGCTTTCTTTTGTAATTAACTAATTACAGCCTTTCTATGCTTACCCAAGATTGGCAAGCTGTCCTTCAGCGGGGTCATCTCATCCCCCGGCCTTAGGCTGTTCTTTGTTCTTTTGAATATACACACAGGTTTCTGATAAAAAAAAATTATTGTGCAACTTCTTCACCTTCATTGGTCATTAAAACCCACGTTGTCACCGTGGAATATTGGATAAAACAGCAAGAAGTAAGTTTCAGAGAAGAAATGGCGCCTTCTTAGAGATCTATTTCAAAGCACTGTTCAGTTCTAAAAAATCTACCTCAATAAAAGTAGGAAATGGGGGAAAACTCTGAAAGGACTTGTGTATTATTTAACTTAAATTTTGTAAGTTGCAATGGGATGAAGATTCAGTTGGAATATTGCTAGAAGAAATTTATCTGAAGATGAATCTAAAGAATTTCAACACCTCCTTCAGTTCATCTACGGGGTTCGGCTAAGCTCAAACATAGATAGAAGATCTTGGCCTTCACACTCTTCGGAGACTTACTTTTTTTCAGACTTAACAAAAGTAAGAATTTGGTTGAGCAAAAGCTTGGCATTGGCGAGATGGAATTGGAGGGGAAAGGGTACCAACAAAGATCATACTTCTATGGTGGACTTTGTGGTGTTGAAGGCTAACAAATACAGCAGAATGAGTTCAAAAAAGATGTCCCAACTTGAGTATTCGGCCTAATTGGTACTTTTGTGTAAGAATAAGGAGGAACAAGAAACCAATCTGTTTTTTCATTGTTCTTATAGCCGGTTCTGCCAGTCTTGATTGTGTAAAAAATTTCTAGTGTCTCGGGTCGTTGATGGATTGGGAAAAAAAATTGTGTTCAACAATTGTCGTGTAGGCAAAATTTTAAAGGGAAGATAGAAGTCCTCTAGACAAATGCAATTAAGGTTATGGCATAGAGGTGGAGAAATATCACTGCATCTGCAACAACAAAGAGTGATATGCAAAAGAAGTCTTCGACCTAGCTAAGTTTCTCGTTAAATAGATCTATGTCTAAGAATTTTAATAACTATTCTCCATCTGTTATAAGTTTTAATTGGTGGGTTTTCTTCCTAATATGGATAGTAGTTTTTTTCCCCCTTAAAGCTACATATCTAATTTTTCACTATATCAATGAAAAGGAAACGTTTTCCTTTTCAAAAGAGAATTTGTAACCAAAAACCAATTTTATTGCCAACATGAGCTTAGCTCAGCGGTAATTGGCACTTGCCTCTGACCAAGAGGTCATGAGTTCGAATCTCCGACCCTCACTTGTAGTACTTATAAAAATTTTAAAAAAAATAAATAAATAATATTTTCACAAACACAAACGTACGTACCCAAATTAACAACTTCAAAAGGTATAAATTTTTGGTACTATGAATTAATTCATTACATTATCAAATATAAGAGTATTGGAAATCAGCAYCATTCCATACATGAAAGTAGGTACCAAAAAATACCAATCTACTAAAGAATGGAAGAAAATAGAGACTTAGAGACAACATGACAATGTCAAGTGAAGACTGTGAAGTTAATGACAGACACTGAATGCCCACCTTCTAAAAATAGCAATGCAAGTAAATCGGGTGCCTGCTAGCAAATTGAGTCAAAGATTAGTAAAGAGAAAGCTGAAGTGAACTCTCTCCATCTTTGAAATTTTAAGGGTAAAAGCTATTTAATATGCAGAGAGACAAGATCTAGAAAGCAAATTTTCAGAATATGCATAACTGTGCAGAACAAGACACGAGACAAGTAGCCAAATTCATGAGAGCCTCCTCTCTCCTCAAAAGATAAAAAATAAGCATCGGAAAATAATTTTCACTTCGAAAAGTCACTCCATCTCAATTGATTTCAGATTATAATTTATAAATGAATCCTGTAACGGATTTTGACATTCCAACAACTTATGCTTAACAGGAATCACTTACCCTATGAACTCATAATAACCATACCTTAATTTGCTCATCGACTTTAAATTTTTCAGAAGCAATGACAGGTCCAGCATCCAATGCACGCACTGTGAATGCTAACGATACACCAGTTTCCTTAACACCATCCTAAAGGCAAAAATAAAAAAGGTTCTTAGAACTATTTGAAGAYATAAAAAACTCAAGGTACTGAATATCAATAACTTCTACTCATAAGAAACCTGCAATGCCCTTTGGACAGGGGCAGCACCACGATATAATGGCAATAGACTTGGGTGAATATTGACCGTCCCTGAGAAATCATAATTGCAAAAGAGGCTATTTAAACAACTCCAAGCGAAAGATGAAAAAACAATAGGCTCCCAGACCTGACCAGCTTGTCTTTCCATCTCATCTCATGAAAGAAAGATTCATCTACTCCCTTCTAGTTCTAGCCATATTTCCCATTACAGTTTTTTAATTTGGATATCGAAAAGATTAAAGAAATAAATGGCTTACCCAATGCTGGAATATTTAGAAATTTGGTCGGTAAGATATTTCCATATGCTGCTGTAATACATAGTTCTGGCTGCAAAGCCTTCAAGGTGCTCAAAAACACGTCCTGCAGAAAAATAAGAAGAAAAAGGAGCATTCTACATTACTTCAAATACTTTCTATCAAAGAGAGTATTACACAAGGTTCAAAAGTCTCTCATATCGTATCAAAAAGTTGTAAGTAAATCTCTCTACACAAATTTCAAAGAATAAAATGAACCAATGGCCACTGATAAACAAATTACCATTAGTAAAGCTGGACATTGAAAAGGCCTTTGATAGCGTAGATTGGRATTTTCTTGATGCTGTCCTAGAGGCTAAAAGGTTTGGATCTACTTGGAGAAAATGGATTCGAGGCTGTGTATCTTCCGCAAACTTCTCCATCATAATCAATGGCCGTCCGAGAGGCAAAATCATCGCTACTAGAGGCTTGTGACAAGGTGACCCTCTATCACCCTTCCTCTTTATTTTGATTGCTGATGTGTTCAGTCGTCTTTTGTCACAATCAGCTCACCACAACCTCATAAAGGGGTTTGATGTAGGCAACAACTCCTTGAACATACACCACCTACAATTTGCAGACGACAGTATCCTCTTCTCCACATTTGAAGACGCCCCCCTCAATAATTTGTTCAACATCAGCCGACTTTTTGGCATCTGGGCTCAAAATCAACCATCAGAAATCAAAAATTCTGGGAATTAATTTAACTGACAGTGAGCTTGCAGCCCTAGCATCTAGATTCCATTGCAAAAAGGGAGCTTGGCCTTCTCTCTATCTTGGTCTGCCCTTACATAGGAAAGGGCCTTGGAAAGCGATTCTCAAGACCCACAAACTGGTTTTTGATAGGCTGGCTTACAAAATTCAGAATGTTAGTTCCACCCCTTTTTGGACGGCCCCCTGGTTGGTCAGTGAACCCTTGGAACATCACACACTCCTTCTCTTTGCCTTATCCACGAAAAAGGATACCTCTGTTCGGGATCTTTGGTCTGTGGACAACAATTGCTGGAATTTGAGGTTGAGAAGAAACCTAAAAGATGCTGAAATTATAGAATGAGCAGCCCTCTCACACGAGCTTTCTTCGGTTCAACTATCCACAAAGATGGACATTTTAACATGGAAACTAGAACCAAACGACATTTTTACCACTCGCTCCTCTTAAAAGATCTCACACARCCTTGCTCGAATTCTCCAAAGGGTCTGTATGAAGGCATTTGGAKGGACACATCCTAAAAAGGTGAAATTCTTTCTCTAGGAACTTAGTCATCGAGCTATCAACACTGGCGACAAACTACAAAGAAGAATGCCCTATATGGCTCTCTCCCCCCATTGGTGTGTGATGTGCCAATCTAACATTGAGACCCAACAGTACCTCTTCATCTCCTGCCGCTATGCAACCAAATTTTGGAGCCTCATCCTTAGCACTTTTGGATGGTACACTGCTTTGCCAATGGATCCCCCTCTCCTCATTGAAGCTACTCTAACCGGACACCCATTTAGAAAAGAGAAAGCTCTTCTTTGGCAGAACTTTATGCGAGCATTCCTTTGGATCACTTGGAGAGAACGCAACCAACGCATCTTCAACGACAAAATTCTCTCTTTTGATAATTTTTCTAAAGCTATAGTCTTTACAGTCATTACATGGTGTARATCTTCCCCTATGTTTCACAACTATAGCTACACTTCCCTTTTAGCCAATTGGAAGTGCTTCATGTAATCCTCTTTTGAGGTTTTTGTAATTTCATACATCAATGAAATTGTTTCTTTCACCAAAAAAAAGATAAATAAATTACCATTCACCACGTCTTTTAGACTTCATAAATACAACAAAATTTGTCATCCAGTTACAAAATAAACATACAAGTTCATTCCATTCTTCATATCAAGAACTTGATGCCAAATGTTGTACGCTTATACACTCTCACACCAAGCTAATATTTTATAACTTTCCACATTTTCAAAATTCATTATGTTTCTATCATCATAACAAGCAGAATCAAATCCTTTAACGGCACTTTTTCGATCACATTATAATCGTTATATGATCAATGATACCAACTTCACCTCAAAGAAAAAGTAACATTACCTCTCCAGCTTTTTCAGGTGTAAGAATAAGGTCAGAAGAGAAGCCTTTATCAAGGGCATATTGTGCTACTGGAGAAGGCATCATCTTTCTTCCCCTATCCCTTCTAGAAGGTGGCTGAGTTACAATAGCTGCAACCTAAATGGTTTAACGTTAGTCATCTTAAAAACAGATCGTTGTAATCCAAGATAATGTCTCAATTCTTTTTTTTAATGAGGTACAATACAATTATTCAACAGTGAACAGTGATTAATACCAGAACAGAAGATGGTAATCAATTGCATATATTCACAAATGGGAGCGTTATGGTGAATCCCTGGCATTCATTCATAGATTATGTTTATTGAATTGTGTTTATCTCGTATACAAATTCTGATCGGAGGTGTATTGCTTGGAATGGTAGATTATTCTTTTACTTATAGTTTATTGATAAAAAAACGAAACTAGGTTTTCAATACAATCCTAGACATTTTCTTCTTGTCCCCATTGTTTCCCTCCAAACTTCACATAGAAATTGTACTTAACACGACCACAGCTATAAATGATAAATCTTTCAAAATGCGGAATTACAGCAGAAGAAACTCCTGAAACATTCCAATAAAACCAAATCCATATCAAACAGACACAAAACTGAGATGAAGAGCCGACAGCACATGAGAGATCAAAACCAAAGAATTGTGTCAGTGTATACCTCAAAAGCCGCATCTGCAGCGGAAGATGCGTTAAAAAGAGCATCAAGAACTGAAGTTGAAACCTACGCAGAAGGCATTTCTCCCATTATGTAACGAAACAAGACTAGCAAAAAGTATATATATATATAGAGAGAGAGAGAGAGAACCTGAGGAGAACCCAAGAAAACGAGGGGTTTCTTCTTGGAGAAAACGAAAGCGGAGGAGGAGGAAGAAGGAGAAGATGCAGAGTGTAAACAGAAAGAGCGGCGAAACATGAGCGAGGAAGCCATAGCTCTTCCTTCTTCAATGCTGAATTTGGGGCTTCGGCTTCTTCTTGGCCTTCACTTCACTGTTTATCCACTCTCAACCATCCATGGGGAAGAAATGGAAATTCAACCTTGATTTCAAACGTTCACATTCATTTGGTTTTAATTTGGCAATAATAATAATAAATAGTTTGTTTTTTTTTAATATTATTTTGGTTCAAAGTTCTTACTATTCACTTTGGTTCATAAAATGTCAAGTTTCATGTTTATTTTGATCCAGTAATTTAAAAAAAGGATCCTGAGAAAAATTTTAAAAAAGTGAAGCAAAGCATGATTCAATTCAATTTTTAGAAAGTAAAATCGAATATCGATTGTCGCATAGCTCAAGTGGTCAATTTTTAGAAAGTAAAATCGAATATCGATTGTCGCATAGCTCAAGTGGTTAAGGCACCTACCTCTGACCAAAAAGTCATGAGTTTGAACCCCACCCCCACAATATTTTACCAAAAAAATCGAATATCGATTTAGAAAATTATATTTATTTAATAAAATATGTTATATCCAAGACGAAGACTTATCCATTAAAATGGGTTGAAAACTTTAACATAAATTTTTAAACAATCGAAAAATTGAACCATCCATGTTCAATGAATCTAGAACGAAAAGATTTGACGGGTTGTCTTAAACTTGTCTTAGTGAGTAAACATGATATTGAGTAAAAATCGACCCATAACCACTTACAAGTTTTATTCTTGTTTCTTTTTTTAACACATAAAGAAGGCTTACAAGTTCCCCTACTTTCCATGCTTCAAGATTCTACCACTCAAAATATCCATTACCTAGATCTTCCCTTTATAATAACCAATCTGTGCAAATGTAAAGTCCAAATTTTGAACAAAAGAGAATGAATTAGTACCTGTTTCTGGTAAAAACTGTCAAATGCCCATAATATGAAGGATTACAGTGCTTTGTTGTATAGAAATAAAAGAGATATTAGTATAATTTACACTAGACCCTAAAATTCGAGAGAACGAGATGTATACAAGATTATGATGCATGATACCAATGCACACGTACCAAATGTCCCTTGGTTTTTATTTTAGTTCAACAGGTAGACGTGCAGATTCGAACCTTCCACCTTTTAATAGGAATACATATCTTAACAAGTTCAACCATGCTCAAGTTAAACATCACTCGATTCTTAAACCATATACATATTCCTCGATACAAATTGCAATACACAGGAAATTAACCAAAGGCCTTTACAGGGATACAATACAAAAGAGATGCAAAAGAAAAGGCAACCAAGATCGCATTCACAGCCAAGCCAACAAACTGGTGGCTTGAATTCAGTGTTTTTTTTTTTGGCTTGCAGGCCAGATGCGTAACTCCAAGGTCGGCTGGGATGAAGATTCAAAGAAGTCCTTTGGAATCAAAAGGGATCCATTTGAAGGAGGGGGAACCTCAACCCGAGCTTGGATCTCCCTCACTATGGATTGCGAACGAAGAACACGCTCCTCAGCTTTTGCTTTGATTTCATAGTGAAACTTTCTCCTCGACAACGAATGTCCAATCCGACTCACAGTTGCCGCTTTCCCAAAAGGTTCGGATGTATAAGAAAGGAGGTACAGGGTTCCATCTTTCTCTTCTTGAAGAATACGAGAAGAATACGATAAGTTTCACCATTGTTGAAGCACATGGTGAATTTGGAATCATAGGAGAAGCTCTTGGCTGAGTTTTTGTGCTTCTTCGTGAAATGCGATGATAACTGTCCGGATGAACCAACAAATGAGCAATCGGTTAAAGGGCACGAACATGGTTTGTACACGCATGATGACTCATGGTCATTTCTCTTGTTCCAATATATCGTCTTTTTGCAGCCGTATGTTGAGTTTTGACACTCTATCTTGATTGACTCCAAAAGCGTTTCCATTGATCTGCAACGCATATGGCCAATTTCCGAGCCACAGCTAGAGCATTTGTTGTGAGCTCTGGTGCAGCAGCTTGAGCAAGAAATATGCCCATTCTTACACTAATTCATCCAAACAAACAACATTTCAACACCAAAGTGGATGATATGAATAGCAAATAGACAACATCATACATATAAAAATGCAAGAATGGGCATATTCATTCATCCATTTCAAGTTCTTGTTTCTAAAAAATGAAGAAAATCCTATAATCCATAAAAAAAATATTCACAGCATATGTATTAACCACAATTCAACCCAAGTTTGACATAGAAAAAGGTGAAGAAAATATCAAAATAACATGTTTTGGTTCAGATGTATGTTTTGAGATAAACCATTCAGCTTAAGAAGGTTTCATTTCAATGTCAACAATTTCTTGACTATATCCATGTACATAATAATCCCAGCCAGGTGAAAAAGGAAAAGAAAATGTATAAATGAATTAGATTTACCCAATCCAGAACCTCCCGCTCTGATACCATGTTAAAGATGAATTAACCGCCAATCAACCCAAAAGCTTAAGTTGATGAGTTGGGTACATTTAATTCATATATTGGATATCTGACAGTATCATATCAAGTAACAGAGGCATATCATATCAAGTAACAGAGGCAGGTGAATTAGGGTAGTTAAAAATGCTAAGTTATCAATTTATTCCCATGGTTTGAGCTTAATTTTAACTTCGTCCTATAATTTGGACTTAATTTCAACTTGCTCAGTGCATGCACGACTCTGTTTAGAATTAGTTTCAATCTGACCCCTATAATTTCAAAAGTTCCAATTTGATCCCTACAATTATTAAACTTCTCAAATTTTTTCTAAACCCTTTTTGACGTACCAAGAAAGCTCACAATCTTTTTCTTCTCTTTTACTAAGTTTTATACCCTAATATAATTAACTAACGCAACCAACTAAATAGAAAACATCATCGCCAACCTAATATAATTAACTAACGCAACCAACTAAATAGAAAACATCATCGCCAATCTAAGCATAGCTCAACTGATTAGGGCATATATCATTGACCAAAAGGTGGTAGGTTTGAATCTCTACTCCCACATGTTGATAGTTGATGTACTAAACAAAAGACAACACGTCATGGTGTTGATAGTTGATGTACTAAACAAAAGACAACACGTCATGGTTTCAATATAGTAACCACTTGCAACGATTTGTAAAATTTGACTAAATTGAAACTAAGTTCAAACTACCGAGACTAAATTAAAACTACACTCAAACCTTAAGACTAAATTGGTCATTTAACCTAGTTAAATAGGTTAAATTAGAAAATGGGAGAACAMGCAGAAGAGAGAAGAAAAAGAAGAAGGAAGCATCATATCCATCTAGTTGAAAGCAAAATAAAAACTAAAAACAAGGAAGATTAATAAAAMAAACCACATATAGAAATGGGATTTAAAGGTCTTCAAATTCATTTGAATTTCAAGTTTCAACAATCGCTTGATTATATCACAAACCCACAATCATGTTCAGAATAATCTCTACCTTCTAAGAACTTCAAAGAGCCTGTAATCTATACATAATTCGAGTTGAAATCAAAACCAAAAAACAAAGGGTTCAACTTAAGATTTCATTTGAATATCAACAATCTCTTGACTACATCACAAACTCACAGTCATGTCCAGAATAATCTCCATCTTTTAAGAACTTCAAAGAGTCTATAATCTCCACATAACTCGATGATATGTGGCAAAACAGTTCACAGATCGGCCCAACAGAAACCAACCCAACTACATTTGTAATCATAATCCAAAAAATTGATCAAAATCTCGAGAGTAGATGATGAACAGAACAACATCAGACCCAAATTGAGAGCTAAAACCAAAATCGAAAGACAGAGAAGAGAGGCTAATTTTACCTGAAAGAGAGGCGTGGACAAGGGTTCGCGGCAAATATAGCATTCAAGAAGCTGGGGATCAGTGAGTATGAGGTTCATCGTCTCGCTCTTCTCCTTTTCGCCCACCATTTTTCTTCTTCTCCCGAAACTCAAATCCCCACTTCAAGAACTCCTTTCTCGCTCTCTCTCTAGAAAACCCGCGTCAGGATAACATTAAGAAACCCCATTGCTGCAACAAACGAGGAAAAAATCGTATTGTTCTTATTCTTCTTTCATCTTTCCTCCATTTCTGAAGATTAAGAACTCCATTCACCAATAAATTAAAAACCCAAACGCTGGTTTCATCAGATTTCTTTCCATGATCTCATATCATCTGGGTTCTTTTTCTTCTTTCAGACACTATGGACCAAGTCGCTCACATTTGAAATTTTTGGMAATCAGAGGATATTTATGCAGGTCTTGTGCGGCAATGAGGCRGTTTCAGTAGTCATGGATTTTATTTCCCATTTTAATACAACGGGCTGAAAGATTAGAGAAATGGTAATTTCTGCCCACCAAAGTCTCTAATAACTATTAGATCCATATTCAAAATAGTTTTTCTTTCCGACTCATAATTAGTCTTTATTAGATACATTACTTAAAATAACGTTAGTTCTTTCTTCTCCTCCCCAATTATGAGTTGGAGAGAGAATAAAGATCATAACACTTTTCATTCTTTTAAATTCTTACTCATTTTTAAGTTGAAAAAGGTAGAGAAAACTAGTTTACTAGATAAATTATTATTTTTTAAAATTAATTTTATTGCTGTAAGAGCGACCAAAAAAAAAGTTAAATGAAACAAAAATACAAATTTGGGATTTGGAAAACTACTGTTTTAGGGGCATTGTGGTCCTTTGATATTTTTCGTTTGAAAAAGGAAATGTCTGCAAGAGGTTTCGGCTGAGCTGGAAAAGAGAAGACAAAACAAGAATTTGCCTCGTGGTTTTGAAAGTGGAAGAGAGAGATAAATTATTGGATAAGAATTAAATAAGAAAAGAAAAAAAAGGATAAAAATTACAAAATAGCTTAACCATTAAGATTCACCCTTTCTAGATGGAATAAATTAAAAAATTACAAATTTTTCCTTTGAAATATAGATTTAATAAAAACATACACACAAGAAAAAATTAAATATTGGACGGTTTTGATACAAATCTCTAAAATCTTGGAGAAATTGACTCAAATGACACATTAAAGTTTTTSGTGTGCTCAAATGAATCCCTCTTTCAAAATGTGTTTTGGCGACGCACTATATGCATTAATTACTTGTCAGAGGAGATGAAATGACATTACTGCCCTCAATGGGCTACATTCAAAAAGCTATTTTTATTTGGTTCCTCATTTAGTTTGTAAATTACCGTTCGAGCAAGGTCATCGCGCAGGGTTTTGTAATTTTTTGTTCGGTTTTGTACGAGTTTAYTACTATACTTGCGTGAGGTATGTGAGTTTTCGGGCGAGGTTCATAGTTTTTGAAGAATCTCAGGCGAGATTTCATAGATTTCGCCTGGGGTAAATGGTAACAGTAGAAGGTAGGGGTAATTTTTACTCGCCCATGGTAGGGAACGAAAATACCCCAGGTAGTAAATTTGGTCCCCCGCTCGAGGTACACAATTTGTTTTAGAATGACTTTTCCTCGCCTGAGGTTTTCTTGGTCTTTTATTTTCTTCACACCTGGTTTGGTTTTTCATATCTAATCGATCGTCTAGCACTTGTGCTTTGTCGTTTGCAGGACATGATGATTCGCCTTTTTGTTAGCTATGTGGAATGAGGTAAAGGCTGTATACGAAGGTGGAGTTATAGGAGGTTTGGATGTTGATGAATGCATAACGTATGGAAACCTCTTAAGTGCGATCTTCAAGCTTACTCGAATAAATCAGGACCTTTTCAATATTGTTATAGAATGCATGTACAAATTCGAGTTCCAGTACCAAGTTCCGAACTATTACATATTTGATGATACTAGTAATGACTCCACTAACAGACAATGTTGTCCTATGCAATTCAGTTAGTGGAATGAGGTTGAAGGTAAGGATGATGATGACTRAGACTACACAATGGTTGGGGATGATGTCGAGGATATATTTACTCACACGCTAAGTTTGAGGATGAAAGTGAAGCAGAGGATCAAAACGAGGATCATGTAGAATCGATTTGTGATGATGCTCCATTGTCAACAAAGACTTGTTGTTGAAGTGCATTCTGTAAGTACGAATGCTCCAAGTGCAACTAATGCATCCTTAGAACARATCATTACAACTGGTGATGATATTACAACTGGTGATGATAATAACTCAGTTGATGACGTTGCAGTTGATAGTGTTTTTCGATCTAAGGATGAGCTACGATTTAAATTGTTCGTGTTGGCGATAAAAAAAAATTATGAGTTTCGGGTTATGAAGTCTGCTAAGAAATTGTTAATCGTTGTATGCACGAAAAAGAGATGCAAATGGCGCCTGCGTGCAAAAAGGATTAAAGGTTGCAAACACCGTAAAAATTCCCGGGCGCAATCTCGCCAAAGGTCAAGCCTAAGGATTTTGTCCAGATCACAACCTCAAGCGATGTTTGGAAGAAATTTCAAACCGGTTGTCTGTACATGCGTACCAAATGAATGTCATTTATTTCTTTTTTTTAGTTCAACAACACGTGTAGAAGTGTGAATTCAAATCTCCAACCTTTTGATCGGGATACATACCTTAACCAATTCAATCATGCTTAAACCATATACATCTTTGCTCAAAACAAAGTCAATACAGAGGAAATTCACCAAAGGCCTTTACAAGAACACAAAAGAGATGCAGAAGAAAAGGCAACCAAGGTCACATTTACAGCCAAGCCAACAGACTTGAGTTCAGTGTTTTTATTTTTRGCTTGCAGGCCAGATGCGTAACTCCAAGGTCGGATGGGATGAAGATTTAAAGAAGTCCTGTGGAATCAAAAGGGATCCTGTTGAAGGAGGGGGAACCTCAACCCGAGCTTGGATCTCCTTCGCTATTGATTGCGAACGAAGAACACACTCCTCAGCTCTTGCTTTGATTTCATAGTGAAACTTTCTCTTCGACCACGAACGTCCAATCCGACTCACAGTTGCCACGTTCCCAAAAGGTTCGGACGTATAAGAGAGGATGTACAGAGTTCCATCTTTCTCTTCTCGAAGAATACGATAAGTTTCACCAGGGTTGAAGCACATTGTGAACTTGGAATCATATGAGAAGCTGTGGGCTGAGTTTTTGTGCTTCTTGATGAAATGCGAGGCCAAGTGCCCTGATGAACCAACAAACGAGCAATCGGATGAAGGGCATGAACATGGTTCATACAAGCACGATGACTTGTGGTCATTTATCTTGTTCCAATATATCATCTTTTTGCAGCCGTATGTTGAGTTTCGACACTGTATCTTGATCGACTCCAAAAGCTTTTCGATTGGTCTGCAACGCATATGGCCAATTTCCGAGCCACAGCTTGAGCAGTTGTTGTGAACTTTCGTGCAGCAGCTAGAGCAAGAAATATGCCCATTCTTACACTAATTCATCCAAACAAACAACATTTCAATACCAAAGTGGATGATATGAATAGCCAATAAGACAACATTATACATATAAAAATGCTAGAATGGGCATGTTCATCAAGTTCTTGTTTCTAAACAATGAAGAAAATCCTATAATCCATAAAAAATATTCACAGCATATATATTAACCACAATTCAACCCCAAGTTTGACATAGAAAGGTAAAGAAAATATATATTAAAAGAAACAAAAAAAAAAGATGTTTTTGTTCAGACATATGCTTTGAGATAAAGTAACAAGATAAACCATTCAGCTTAAGAAGATTTCATTCAATTTCAACAATTTACTGACTGTATCAATGTCCAGAATAATCTCAGGCAGGTGAAGAAGGCAAAGAAAATGTATCCTATCAAGTAACAGAGGCAGGTGAATTGTGGTAGTTAAAAAGGCTCAAGTTATTAATTTGGTCCTGTGGTTTGAGCTTATATTAATTTGGTCCAATAATTTGGACTTAGTTTCAACTTGCTCACCCCACAGACTCCATTTAGAATTAGTTTCAATCTGACCTATATGATTTCAAAAGTTTCAATTTGATCCCATAATTATTAAACTTCTCAAAATTATTCTGAACCCTTTTCTACGTATCAAGAAAACTCACAATCTTTTTCACTTCTCTTTTACTAGTTTTATACCCTAATATTATTAACTAACAGAGCCAACCAAAGAGAAAATGTCATCGTCAACCTGAACATAGCTCAATTGATTAAAGCATATATCTCTGACCAAAAGATTGTAGGTTCGAATCGCCACTCCCCATGTTGATGTACTCAAAAAAGAAAAATGACAACGTCGTCTCATTTGCCACATAAATAGATAGCATGTCATGCGTTCAATACAGTAACCACTTGTAACGATTTGTAAAGTTTAACTAAATTGAAACTAAGTTCAAACTATGGGATCAAATTGAAACTAAACTCAAACCTTAAGATTAAATTCTTCATTTACCTAGTTAAATTAGAAAATAGGAGAACAAGCAGGAGAGAGAAGAAGAAGAAGGATAAAAATTAGAAACAAGGAAGATTAAAAGAAAAAAAAAACAACATAGAGAAAGGCGATTTAGAGGACTTCAAATTCAACCCAAGACTTCATTTGAATTTCAAGTTTCAACAATCTCTTGTTTATATCACAAACCCACAATCATGTCCAGAATAATCTCCACCTTCTAAGAACTCCAAAGAGTCTGTAATCTATACATAATTCGAGTTGAAAGCAAAACCAAAAAGCAAAGGGTTCAACTTAAGATTTCATTTGAAGATCCATAATCTGTTGATTACATCACAAACTAAAAATCATGTCCAGAATAATCTCCACCTTCAAAGAGTCTGTAACCTATATATAATTCGAGTTGAAAGCAAAACAAAAACAAAGGGTTCAACTTAAGATTTTATTTGAATATCAAAAATCTCTTGACTACGTCACAAACCCACAATCATGTCCAGAATAATCTCCATCTTTTAACTTTTAAGAACTTCAAAAAGTCAATAATCTACACATAACTCGATGATATCTGGCAACCCAGTTCACAAATCGGCCCAACAGAACCAACCCAACTTCATTTGTAATCATAATCCAAAAAATTGATCGAAATCTCGAGAGTGGATGATGAACAAAAGAACATCAGATCCAAATCGAAACAGAGAGAGGCTAATTTTACCTGAAAGAGAGGCGCGGACAAGGGTTCAAAGCAAATATAGCAATCAAGAAGCTGGGGATCAGTGAGCATGAGGTTCATCGTCTCGCTCTTCTCCGCCATTTTTCTTCTTCTCCCGAAACTCAAACCCCCACTTCACGAACTCTTTCTTTCTCGCTCTCCCTCTAAAACCCACGTCAGGATAACATTAAGAAATCCCATCAAACCAAATTATCCCCCTTATCTGCGGCAACAAACGAAGAAAAAGTCGTATTGTTCTTGTTCTTCTTTCATCTTTCTCCCTCTTTCGAAGATTAAAAACTCCATTTGACCAATAAATTAAAAACCCAAACGCTGGTTTCATCAGATTCATGATCTCATCCCGTCTGGGTTTTTTTTTCTTTCGTACACAAAGGACCAAGTCGCCCACATTTGAAGTTTGAAAGCAGAGGATATTCATATGGGTTTTGTGGCGCAATGAGGCGATTTCAGTATAACCCGACCCGCAATATATGGATTTTGACTTTCCATTTTAATACAACGGGATGAAGAACTAGAGAAATTTCCTGTATTGTTCTCTAGAAAATCAGAATAGTTTGATTCGCATTTTGGATTTTGTTTTTCGTGTGTTTTYGTAGATTTGTTTTTTAAAACTGTTTTCGAATTTGTGGAAATTCTTAAAGTAATATTTTTATATTTTTCGTGTTTTTCAAAATTTAAATTTAAAAGTAGAATTACATTAAAAAAGAAAAATAAAATTTAATAAATATATTATTTCATATTATAAACTCATTTTATTTTTGYTAAAATTAAAATATAATATATTATAAATTATACAACATTGTAAAATAATAGAATACTAAAGCCAAAACTTAAAAGATACAAAAATAATAACTTTATTGGTTAAAGAATACAGTATGTAATGATCTCATTCATCTACGTTTAAATTGGTAACAATTTAATATACTGTAAAAAAATCTMATCAAAATTAAATATCAATATTTATTATATATCRATTTACGTAGATTTTAAACAACTAAAAATCCAAAGACTAAATTGTTACACATTTGAAAGTGCATTGATTAAATTATTAACTTTGTAAGGTATGAGATCTAAAAGTAGATTTTAAACAAAATTATATTAAATGAAGTTGCTACATGATTCTCCTTTAGTCCCTGATAACTATTAGATCGAGATTCAAAATACTTATAATACGAAGGATTATAGTTCTTTCTTGAATAGAAATAAAAGGGATATTAGTATAATTTACACTAGACCCTAAAACTTGAGAGAACGAGATGTATACAGGATTATGATGCATGATCTCATAGACACGTAAAATTGTGAATTCGAATCTCCAACGTTGTGAGCAAAGCTTAAAGCATATGCATCTTTCCTCAGAAGAAAGTGCAATACACACTGGAAATTCACCAAAGGCAGAAGAGATGCAAAAGAAAAGGCAACCAAGGTCACATTCACAGCCAAGCCAACAGACTTGAATTCAGTGTTACTAATTTTGGCTTGCACGCCACCAGATGCGTATCTCCAAGGTCTGCCGGGATGAAGATTCAAAGAAGTCCTTTGGAATCAAAAGGGATCCATTTGAAGGAGAGGTAACCTCAACCTGAGCTCGGATCTCCTTCGCTATTGATTGCAAACAAAGAACACGCTCCTCAGCTTTTGCTTTGATTTCATAGTGAAACTTTCTCATCGACATCGAACGTCCAATCCGACTCACGGTTGCTGCATTCCCAAAAGGTTCGGACGTGTAAGAGAGGAGGTACAGAGTTTCATCTACCTTTTCCTGAAGAATACGATGATAAGTTTCACCAGTGTTGAAGCACATTGTGAATTTGGAATCATATGAGAAGCTCAGGGCAGGGCTTTTGTGCTTCTTGGTGAAATGTGAGAATACCTGCCCGGATGAACCCACAAATGAGCAATTGGATAAAGGGCATGAACATGGTTCATACACGCACAATGACTCGTGGTCATTTATCTTGTTCCAATATATCATCGTTTTGCAGCCGTATATTGAGTTTCGACAATGCTTCTTGACCGACTCCAGAAGCTTTTCGATTGGTCTGCAACKCATATGGCCAATTTCCAAGCCACAGCTCGAGCATTGGTTGTGAGCTTTGATGCAGCAGCTAGAGCAAGAAATATGCCCATTCTTACACTAATTCATCCAAACAAACAACATTTCAACACCAGAGTGGATGATATGAATTGTAAATAAGACAACGTTATAAATATAAAAATGCAAGAATGGGCATATTCATTCATCCCTTTCATGTTCTTGTCTCTAAACAATGAAGAAAATCCTATAATCCATAAAAAATATTCACAGCATATATATTAACAACAATTCAACCCCAAGTTTGACATAGAAAGGTGAAGAAAATATCAAAATAACATGTTTTTGTTCAGATATATGCTTTGAGATAACGTAAAGTAACAAGATAAACCATTCAGCTAAAGAAGATTTCATTTCAATTTCAACAATTTCTTGACTATATCAATGTCCAGAATAATCTCAGGCAGGTGAAGAAGGAAAAGAAAATGTATCATATCAAGTAACAGCGGCAAGTGAATAGTGATAGTTAAAAAAAGGCTAAAGCTATTAATTTATAGTTTGAGCTTAATCTTAACTCAGTCCCTATAATTTGGACTTATTTGGACTTAGTTTCAACTTGCTCAGTGCCCCCTAATTTGGACTTAGTTTCAACTTGCTCAATGCCCCCGCACGACTTCATTTAGACTTAATTTCAATCTAAACCCCTATGATTTCGTTCTAATTTAATCCCTATAATTTTTGAACTTACAAAYTTTTCCTAAACCTTTTTTTACTTAACAAAAAAATTCACAATCTTTTTACTTCTCTTTTACTAAATTTTATACCCTAGTATAATTAGCACAGAAAGCGAGCTGAATAAAAGTTTAATTGGTTAAGATATATATCCCCATAAAGGTTATAGGTTCAAATCTCCACCCCACATGTTGATGTACTAAAAGGAAAAGAAAACGTCATCTCATTTGGCACATAAATAGATAACATTTCATGGGTTCAATATAGTAACCACTTGTAATGATTGGTAAGGTTTGACAAATTGAAACTAAGTTCAAAATACAGGGATAATATTAAAACTAAATTCAACCTTCAAAACTAAATTGGTCATTTAACCTAGTTAAATTAGAAAATAGGAGAACAAGCAGAGAGGAGAAGAAGAAGAAGGAAGCATTATATCTATCTAGTTGAAAGCAAAATAAAAATTAAAAACAAAGAAGATTAGTGAAAAAAAAACAACACAGAGAAATGGGATTTAAAGGTCTTCAAATTCAACCTAAGACTTCATTTGAATTTAAAGTTTCAACAATCTCTTGATTATATCACAAACCCACAGGCCACAATCATGTCCAGAATAATCTCCATTCTCCACCTTATTTGAAATCTACATATAATTCGAGTTGAAAGCAAAACCAAAACAAAAAACAAAGGGCTCAACTTAAGATTTCATTTGAATATCAATAATCTGTTGATTACATCACAAACCCACAATCATGTCCAGAACAACCTCCACCTTTTAAGAACTTCAAAGAGTTTGAAATCYATATATAATTCGAATTGAAAGCAAAAMAAAAACAAAAACAAAAACAAAAAACAAAAAACAAACGGTTCAACTTAAGATTTTATTTGAATATCAATAATCTCTTGACTACATCGCAAACCCACAAACATGTCCAGAATAATCTCCATCTTTTAACTTTTAAGAACTTCAAAGAGTCAATAATCCACACATAACTCAATTATATCTGGCAACACAATTCACAAATCGACCCAACGGAAACCAACCCAACTTCATTTATAATCATAATCCAAAAAATGGATCCAAATCTTGAGAGTGGATGATGAACAAAAGAACATCAGATCCAAATCGAAACAGAGAGAGGCTAATTTTACCTGAAAGAGAGGCGCGGACAAGGGTTCAAAGCAAATATAGCAATCAAGAAGCTGGGGATCAGTGAGTATGAGGTTCATCGTCTCGCTGTTCTCCTTTTCGCCCGCCATTTTTCTTCTCCTCCCGAAACTCAAACCCCCACTTCAAYAACTCTTTCTTTCTCGCTCTCTCTCTAAAACCCACATCAGGATAGCATTAAGAAATCCCATCCAATAAAAATATTGATTCCCCTTACCTGCTCCAACAAACGAAGAAAAAATCGTATTGTCTTGTTCTTCTCTCATCTTTCTTCCTTTTTGGAAGATTAAAAACTCCATTTGACCAATATAAGAACCCAAACGCTGGTTTCATCAGATTTCTTTCCATGATCTCATTTCGTCTGGGATTTTTTTTTTTTTTCTTTCGGACACTATGGACTAAGTCGCCCACATTTGAATTTTGTAAATCAGAAGATATATGGGTTTTGTGCGGCAATGAAGGGGTTTCAAAATAACCCGACCCGCAAGATGTGGATTTGGCCTTTAGCAATTTGATGGATTTTTTTTTTAAAACTGTTTTAGAATTTTATGTTTCAAACAAATTCTGAGAAAAAATATTTTTTATATTTTCGGTAGTTTCAAATTTTGAATTTAAAACTTTAAAATGCACAATTATATTAAAAATATATATAAACTTTAACAAATATATTATTTCAGGTTATAAATYCGTTTAATTTTTGTTAAAATTAAAATACGTAAAATATAATATATTATAAAATATTCAACATTATAGACTATAGAGTAATAGAATGTTAAAGCTCAAAACTTAAAAGGGTACAGATATCATAAACTGATTAGTTAAAAAATACTTTTCGTTCGTATTGACTTGACCACAAATTTAGTATTCAATTTTTAGCATGTAACAATTTAGTTCTTGAAATTTAAAATTTGTAAAAATTTAGTTTTGTACTGTAAAAAAATATCATCAAAATTAAATRTCATTATTTATTATATATTGGTTTAGTTTTTATAGTTTATAAACACATTYCGTCCCTCACCATCTTATTGAACTACATGAAATCRCATTAAATCTTAACAACATTTTTCACAATATGAATTATATCAATATAAATTTTAAACAATAGGGACTAAACTGGTACTAACTAAAATTTAAGGGACTAAATTGTTACAGATTTGAAAGAAAATATACTAAATGTTAGTTGAGTGAAAATATAAGGACTAAAAGTGATTTTTAACCAAAATTATTATTGAATGAAGTAATAATCGTTGGATACAGATTCAAAATAATKTTTTTCTTCTCCTTCTCTCCAATTACGTGTTGGAGAGAGAATTAAAATTGTTAACYATAACATTTTTCATTCTTTTATATTCTTAAAATTAGATGTTAAATAACATACCAACTCATTTTTACGTTGAAAGGTAGAGAAAACGAGTTTACTAGATAATTTATTATTTTTAATAGTTAATTTTATTACATATATTTAATTAATCCATGATATAAAGTCAATAAATATAATAAAAGATGATTTAAAATTTTGGGATGGGACAAAGCTGGTGGAGAATACATCCTCCATCCCTATCCCAATATCAAATTGGAGAAAAATATTTATCCTTGAAGTTTAGACCGCTCACAAAGTTCAACCAATAGAAATAGAAAAGATTATTAGAGAGGTAGACAATTTATCGATGATTTCAATCGAGAAAACTAGTAAAAGAAAGGATCAAGAACATCATGAATTTCAAAAGCTAGATCAATTTGTCGATGAACAAATAAGAATTAGCAATGACWTCTCTTCCTCTATTGGTAGAAGCTGGCAATATTATATTCATTGTTCCTACCTTTCTTAGTCATTAAGAAATAGAAATAATATATTAGTTGGACATATGTCATCCCTTGACMTGCCAAAAGCTCAAAATTAGTTTCAAGTCAATGATAGGCTTGTTCGAGTAAACACAAACCAACTTTTGTTAGTAGTAAATAAGATTATTATTATTTTTTARGTACAAGATGTGAGAGTGGAGAATTGAACTCACAACCTCTTGATTGGAGATATATGCAAATTACAATTGAGTTACACTCGTTTTGACACAATAAGATTATTTTTTTAATTCAAAGGGTAGAGATTATAACTTTCATAGTCGAGAATATATATTTTAACCCGTTAAACYATGCTTAAATTGTAAACAGTAGTAAATAAGATACTTGTTTTGAGATAAGAGTTGATACTTAATAAAAAATTGCCACTAGTGAGAATATAAAAACTAAGWCATGAGTCCCCATTTCAATCTTAAAGTATAAAAAAAGACTTCTGATTTAATTATGCCCTCAAACCATTGATGATTGCACTCTCTTCTATATCTCATGAACATRCCATTCAAAACATCCATAGATCTTCTCTTTACAAAAAATAAATCCGTGTAGAGGGCAATTTTGACTTAAAAAATGTTCRTGAATTAGTACATGTATCTTAATTAAAATGAAATTAAACAAAACCATAAAATATAGTCGTCAAAGTGTGCAAAAATTGACTTCACGAAGGATATAGCATTTAATATTTAAAAATAAAAGAAATGATAACAAAATTTACACTAGAATATAAAACTCCATATTTGCCCCTATGGTTAGGCCGATTGACAAGGGTTTGGGGTTGGGAAATTGACTCAAATGACTTTCAAAAGTTCGTGGAATGTTCAAATAATCCACCCTTTCAAAATGTGCCCAAATGACCCACTCGAATATTTAATTAATTTTAAAAGGTAGCGAAATTACAGTACTGTCCTTTATTTAGAAAACCAAACCGTTCGAACTAGCTTTCCCCCATCCTCGCCGTTTTCAGCCTCAGTTCGTCTTCTCAATTTTTCTTCGYAGTCCCTTCGAATTTCTTCTTAATTTTTGTTTCTCTTGACAATTAGCTTCGATTTTATGTGTGTTGAGAAGTTGAATGGTTGTTTATTTGCGTTGATTCAATTTTTCGATGTTTAGATGAAACGAATGCATGTATAATATTACATCGGTTTTTTTTTCTGTTGATTTTATTTTCAGGTGTTCTTTGTTTCGTTTCCTGTTTTTTCTTCGATTTTTCATTTATGTTGGAATTGAGGTCTATGGCTGCGAGAGTTTGACTTGAAATGTTTGAAGTGTGTGGTGGGAGGTTGAAGACAAAGAAGTATTTCGGGTGAAGTGAGATGGACCTCGAGTGAGGTTGAAGAGATTTGAAACGTCGCTCAAGGTTCAGTAAACCTCTGTCATTTTTCTCGAGTTCAACCTCGGGCGAGGTTGAGCCCGAGGTAATTGAAAGAGGCTCAACCGTGAGAAACCTCACTCGAGGTTGAGCCTCTTTCAATTACCTCGAGCTCAACCTCGCCCAAGGTCGAACCCGAGAAAAATGACTAGAGGCTTAGAAACCTCGAGGTTGCGTCCACTTTTTCTATCACCAACCGTTGACCTCGAGCGAAACCTCGCCCGAGGTTCATTGTTTCTTATGAAACTCGACCGGAAAACCATAACTCTCACCCGAGATTCATAGTCAGTCTTAACAGAATCTTGCCGAAATACGAAACTAAATTTAAAAATGACAACCTGCTTCAAAATCAAAGCAAACAAAAGTAAACAAAACAGCAAAATTACTTTTCAAATGTAGTTCAATCTTAATGAAATGGTTGTTGTGAATTAAATGATTCCCRGGAGGGAATTAAAATGACCCCGACCGAGGTTTTTTCCAACGGTCATGTGTTATAATTAAGGACATTTGGTCATTTCATCTCCTCTGACATATCATTAATGCAATGCTTTAAGTAGGTCATCTGGGCACATTTCCCAAGGGAAATTGACTCAAATAACCTTCAAAATTTTTTGAGAACCTTCAAAAGTTTTCAAAAAATTTTGAAGGTTATTTGAGTCAATTTCCCTTGGGGTCTCTCGATCATACTGACTTAAAAGTCTCAAGTTCGAACCTTCTGGTGAACTTAATACCAAAATCTTTAATGTCTCCTAAGTCCGAACCTTTGGTGGGTGTGGGTGCCCCTAGATATAGAGGAGCAAAGTTCCGACTCCCAATTTTATAAAAATATATATATATATATATAACTCCATGTTTCATCAAACATGAATCTAAGAGAAAATGCTTCCTAGTTAAGTTATCTTCCTATAAACATACATCTTTCCTCTATAAACATACATCTTTCCTCAAATACAAAATGCAATGCTTCATATTTCAAGATATCTAAGACAAAATATGATAAGATGTACAAACGTAGGCACCAAGTCCTTTGCAAAAAAAAAAAATAAATAAACACAAATTCAGATGCAAAGATTAGGTAACCAAGAACAAATCCAGCCAACATAATTCAACTCAGTTTATAAATAATCAGCTTTCTTGCAAAAGTATGTGCACCTGTGTTGATCCCCAGTGTTTGTTTTCAGTATGAAGGCCAAATCCTAAACTCCAAGATCGTCTGGGCTGAAGATCCAAAGAACTCGTTCGGAATCAAAAGTGATCTGTTGGAAGGAGGAACTTCAACCCGACCTTGGATCTCCTTCGCGATTGATTGCAAACAAAGAATGCTCCCCTGTGTTTTCGCTTTGATTTCATAGCAAAACTTTTTCTCAGACGACGATGGTCCAATCCGACTCACAGTTACCGCATTCCCGAAGATTTCAAAAGTGAAAGAGAGGAAGAACAAAGCTCCATCTTTCTCCGCTTGAAGGATGCGGTAACTATCACCACTGTTCAAGCATAGAGTGAACCTCGAATTGTATGAGAAGCTTTTGGCTGAGTTCTTGTGCTTTTTGCTGAAGTGTGAGCACAACTTCTCGGACGAACCAACAAATAAGCAATCGGATACCGGGCACGAGCAAGGTTCATATGTACACAGTGACCCATGGTCATTTCTCTCGTTCAAAGTCATTGTCATTTTGCATCCGTATATTGAGTTGTGGCAGGGTATCTTGATTGATTCAAGAACCTTTTCGATCGCTCTGCAACGTATATAACCAATTGACAAGCTGCAGCTAGGGCATTTATTCTGAACTTTGGTGCAGCAGCTAGAGCAAGCAATGTGCCCATTCTCACACTAATTCATCCAACACCAACATTCAATCATAGTATGAAAAAAAATATATAGTTTCATGAGCAACAAACAAACAAGACATTATATACACAAATGCAAGCCTCATTTTCTTCTATATTGATGTTTCAAATCCTATAATCCACAAGATTGAGCCCCAAATTTTGCATGGAAAGGTGAAGAAAATACCAAATAAACATGTTTTGATTTTGAAATTTACTTGAGATAATGTAACAAATTAAGCAATTCAGCTTAAGATTTCATTTCAATTCCAACAATTCCTCGACTCTGTCACCATAATATCCAGAATAATCTTCATTTTTTGGAGATTGTTAACATCAAAACATTTAAAACCACAAGTCTATAATTATATTTGGCTACAAAAGCTCAACCAGCACTGAACAGTTCATAACTATGCCATATTTCCTCAAAATAACCAACCGAACCACACTTTTTCCTTTAATCAATATCCAAAACTTTCATTGAAATCCACAGGCCAAACTACAAATTCCAAAAAGAGAAGATAAAAACCACACAGAGAGGGGGATTTCAAGGTCTCCAAATTCCAACTACGGAACTCAAAAATAGAAAAACAAAACAGAGCGAGAAGAACAAAGCATCAGAAACATCCATATGAACAAGCAGAAAAGAGCTTAATCGGACCTGGAAAACAGGTGCGGACAAGGGCTCGCAGCAAATATAGCAATCGAGAAGTTGGGGATCAGAGAATATGACGTTCATGGCCTCGGTCTTCCCTCTGCCGCTAACCGGACTTCGTTTCCCTCTTTCGCCGTCCGATGCTCTAGAATCCGCCATTTTTGATGTTCTTCTTCTTCTGCTACCACAACGAATGCCAATCGGTCTCTTCACTCTGAGAAAGATGACTTTTACTGGTCCTTTCTGATCAAAGTCTTCTTTCGGAAGAAAACTGAAAAAAAAGAATCAGTTTCTTACGAAAGGGTTGTTTCGTAAATTTGATTTAAAAATCAGGTTAAATTTGACCAATTAAAAAGAAATTAAAGATTAGTGTMGGAAGGTCACAAATGTTTATTTTATTTTATTTTTAAATTTCATTAATTAATTACATAGGTGACATAAATATTGAAATTCGTTTTTAAGAGTTATATATTTAAGCAATTTAATAAATTCCAAAAATATAACACTACTCAATCTTCCCTCTATTTGCGAGTGGTTTTTGAAATTTATTTTGATTGTTTTATGAAAAAATTGTTTATAATGAATGAAATTCATTTTAAAAGGGAAAATGGATGTATTTAAGGAATTTATACACATAAAGAGAATATTACTTTGCCCTGAGAACTTTCATGCTATTCTCAAATTTGATATTTTGTAAATAAGATAAAAATAATTGCAATTTTGTAAAATTTATTTCGTGAAGAATTTCATTTATTTATGGAGTTTAACAAGAAAAAAAAAAAAGTAGATTCACACGATCACAAAAATGACATCTCCTATACAATAATGCAAAATCTCCCTATCCAACATTAATCTGCAGCTCATGCTTGAGAGTAAAATAAGAGTAAAAGAAATTYCAAAAAATGAGTGGGCACCCATTAGAGAGAGAAAAAAAAATAAAGAAGAAATTTGGTTAAAGAGAAATTTGGAGAGATTGAAAGATATTATAAATTTCCAGGTATTTTCTTTTCTCTATAGTTTGTGCACTGCTTCTGACTTTTTCTCCCTAACCCGAGATTTTGGGGAGATAATATTATGAGATTTTGTATTTTGTGAGAGGTGAGGAGAGAGAGATTTAGGAGAGGATCGGTAGAAAAATGGAGATTTTTAAAGGTAAGAGCAAGCATAGAGATTTTAATATCTCAAAGAAATTAAAGAGACGAAAACCTTCCCCTCYTCGAAGAATCGATTATAGATTTTGATATTCCACCAAAAATTGATAGAGACCTCTCCTTCCTGTGTATTTCTTTTCTTATGTATCTCCACAATGGTATGATGATATTGTCTGCTTTGGGCATAGTCCTCACGGCTTTGCCCAAAAGGCCGAGAAGGTGAAGCTTTAACCCTATGACTGACCTAGCTGAAATTTGATGTTGATTCGGGAAAAGCGGAATCTGTGGGATAAAAGGTTTGGTTCAGGAGAAAAATGATATGTTAGTTCGAAATAAACTGGATATGCTACTGAGGGAAATACTGCTTCGAGAAAGGGCGGTACAAAAAGAATTTAGTGATTCACCTAACACTTTAAAGCGTTGCGGTTGTGCTTTTTTAGAGGGAAGCAAACGCGCCAAGCTAAGAACAAAACACAATACCCGTCCACTTTTTCATCGACTTTTGGAAAAAAGGAAGATTTCAGCTACCTTCGGAAAACAAGGTCAAAAAGAAAGAAAATCGTAAAAGGCATAGTAGGCAGGGAAGGAAGCACCATAAGCTACAAGCTCCCYATCAACCGCCTCGGTTCGAGGTTTTTTTCCTTCGAGGAAGGTCCACTCCTTTCATAAAACAAGGTAAAAATGACCGGCTCAATGAGCCGCCTTTGAGCGGTGCTTCTCCTGTCGACTCATAGAAAGTCGAACCAATATGTTTTGTTCCACTTTGAAGCATAGCAGACACACCTTGATAGAGCACACTCACAGATTACACCATGACCACACCTTCCGAAACTCACAACTTCTTTGTTCGGCACCTGAGGATTCACCGACACTGATACCACTTGTTAAGGACAACAGTACCCCTCGTACCCCACGTATCTCCACAATGGTATGAGATAATTGTCCTCTCTTATATACCCATAATCATTCCCACATAATCATTCCCTTTTCTAGCCAATGAGACTTTATTTGCAATCACCTTACAAACCCAACACTTCACCCCTGTACACGTGAGAAATAGGTTTTGGAAAGAGATTCAGTACGAAAAAAGATTTTGTAAGGGGATAAAGAGAGAGAAATTTTAGAGATAAAGCCTTCGGTAAAAAAAGATTAAGGTGAACAAAGAGATCTTTTGATATTCCAGAGAAGACAATTGAGACTTTTCCCACTTGTTTTCCGCCTATTAGTTTATGCAGGCCAAAAGAAACTTGGAGAGAAAGAGAAGGGAAAAGTACGTGTGAGAGAAATATTAGTATGAATGAGGGAGAATGTGATTTGACTTTGGACTTATACAAGATAGTCTAGCACCCACAAAACTAGTCCAGTCCCCTGGAGAATCCTTTTTTGATTTCAGTCTGGGCGTGGATGTTCTTATTTGGACATCTTGTTTGGGCTACTGGATTTATGTTCTTAATTTCCTGGCGCGGATATTGGCAAGAATTGATTG